CAAAGCTGGAGGCATCATGCCTGCTTTCAAGTTATACTACAGAGCTGTAGGATCAGAGCAGTATGGTACTGGCACAGAAACAGATCAGTGGAAAAGAACAAAAGACCCAGAATAAAAGTTGATGCTGTAGCTACCTGATTTTTTACGAAAAAGTAAAAAAACATACATTGGAGAAAAGTCAGCTTCAACAAATGGTGCTGGGAAAATTGGATATCCATATGTAGAAGAGTAAATTAGATCCCCATGTCTCACCCTCTACATTATCCTTTCCAAGGGGGTGAAAGGCTTTAATATAAGACCTGAAATTGAAATTGTTAAAGGAGAAAGTAGGGGAAACCTTTCAAAATACAAGCATGGTCAAAAACTTTCTCGGATTCTAATGACTCAGGAAATTGTGCCAAGAACTGACAAATGAGATTGCATGAAATTAAAAAGCACAGCAAAGCAGAGTATCAGCAGAGTGAGGACACAGCCCACAGAATGGGAGAAAATTTTTGCTACTTATACATCTGACAGAGGACTAATACCTAGAATATATAAAGAATTTCTAAAAACTAAATACCAAAGAATCAACAACCCAATCAACACATGTACTAACAAAATGAACAGCTCTCAAGAGATAAAGTACCAATGGCCCAGAAATGTAGGAAAGGTTTAACATTCCTAGCCATCAGGGAAAGGCAAATTAAAACTACCCTGAAAATCCATCTTACCCTGGTCAGAACGACTATCATAAAGAAAACAAATAACAGCAAGTGGTGTTGAGGATGTGGGGAAAAGGAAACCTTTACTCACTGCTGGTGGAAATGTAAACTAGTCCAGCCACTATGAAAATCAGTATAGAAGTTCCTCAAAAAACTACAACTAGGATTGTCATATGACCCAGGTTTGCTGCTTCTGGGTATATACTGCAAGGATCCTAAGCACATCACAGAGCTACCTGAATATCCATGTTTACTGCAGCACTGTCCACAGTAACCAAGTTATGAATCAGCTAAGAAATCTGCCAACATGAATGAATAAAAGAATGTTACAGTATGTGTATATACAATGGCATTTTTATTCAGCCACAAAGAATAAAATGCCATTAGTTGGAAAATAAATGCAACAACAAATCATCATGTTATGCAAATAAGCTAAACTCAGAAAGACAAATATCACATTTTTCTCATTTGTAGAGCCTAGATTTTTTTTAACTTAAAAAAATTTTTTATTGAGTTTCTGTATTCTCATATAACAATTCTCAGTCAAACCCAGATCCCTCATCTCCCCACTGGACCTCATGCACTCTGACACACATTGCAAGTCCTAGCTAGTCAAGCATTTGCACTCAAATGCCCTTCAGTACAAATTTGTCCAATGGAGCCCAGTCAGTCCATCCAGAGATTGTGTGTAAGGCATATTCTCCCCCACCAGCAACAACCAGCCTCCAACAGCTTTCAGTCTAGGCCTGCTACTCATCTCTCTCCTCCCCTCTGGGCCCTTGTTCAATTGAGTTGGTACGGGTCCTGTGCTCAATGCCACCATTGCCACAAGCTCACATGTTCAAGCTTCCAGTGGCCCGAAAGCCTCTGCTTCCCTGGGCTCATGAACAAGCCCTGGCTCTTACCGTCTTTCTGCCCCCTCTTCTACAATGGTCCCTAAATCATGGGTGAGTGAGGTTCAATATAGGAATCCCATCCAAAGATACTCACTCTGTAGTCTCTTATTCTTTAAAACGTGGGCAGTTGTGGTCCTCTGTGTGCATTGCACTCTGATGTACAAGGAAGCTTTACTGGGGATCCTAGATTTTTTTTATAGATACATAAAACTATTTATGTGTATATGTGACATGAAAATAGAAGGAAGTCCGGAGAGGCAAGAAACCAGCGTGAGAGGGGAAGGAAAGAAGAGATGGGGGAGGAAGAAGGGGGAAAATGTTAACAAAATACATGATATACTTGAAAGACTTCAGGAAACAATACTATGTATAATGAGTAGACACTAGTAAAGAAAATTTTAATATTTTACATTTGTTTTATATGTGTTTATGAGTATGGGTACATGTGTGAGTGCCACAGCATATGTGCAGAGGTCAGAAGACAACTTGTAGGAGTCTATTCTCTCTTTCCATTGTGTGAGACCCAGGGATCAAACTCAGGCTTTCAGGCTTGGCAGCAAGGGCCTTTACCTACTGAACCGTCTTGCTAACCCATGATGCCAATTAAGAATTTTTTTCAGGGCTAATAAACAGCCTTATTTCCATTGTACAGCATCAACTTTATTACATTCTCAATTTGCCATTAAAGTGCCAAAAATTCTTAAAATAAAAAAAGACATAAAGATGCTTTGTGGGAAATTATTGTTCTGTTTTGAGGTCTCTCCTCCCCAGATTTATCACTTGATGTATTCAGATTTTGTTACAGAATTCCTTTGAAGGGGATACATTCTTTGGTTTGGGGAGGGTAGGGTCTCCCTGTAAACCCAACTGGCCTGGAACTCACTATGTAGACCAGGCTGGCCCTGAACTCACAGAGATACATCTGCCTCTGTCTCCCAAGTGCTGGGATTAAAGGCATGTACCACCTCACCACGCTGGTTTAAAAATCCTTTAAAAAGTCTTTTTAATGCACATTCCCAGTGATAGTTGTGATTCTGTGTATACGCACAGGTTGTAGGGTCACATACGTGGTTTCCAAGGGTAGCCTCTCTCTTCCTTTTTGTTTGGCTGTGTCTCCTTTCTCCCTGGCTTCTGTTGTAGCACCCACCTTTACCTTAGATAACCCACGCCAGAGTGGAGGATACAGCCTGCCACATTTCCTCCATTCCTCCCAACCCTGCCCAGACCACATACACATAGACATATGGAGACATCTGTGTTCTCTTTTCTGAACAGCATCATATAAAACATGTTTTCCTGCATCTTGGTTTTCTCACTTGGTAATACTTCCTGGGAATTGCTCCAAGTCATCTGGTACATATTTAGTTCATTATTTTAAATGGCTAAAAAATTTCCATGTTCGGATATAAGGAACAGTTTTCTAATAGACATAATTAGAAAATCACCAGAATGAGATCCCCCAAATGCTCATGGTGGCCATTGCTAATGGGTCGGGCCCTGGAGAAATCTCACCATCTTTTACTTACCATATTTTACCAGTCTTATTTGAATTTTTATAGTGATTATCTATCTCTTAGATAAGTGATTGAGATAAAACAACAAAAGTGTTTCCTGTTTAAGAAAATGGATAAAATCTCTCTGTGTGTCCTTTCCCTGAATATGTTAATGTTGAACAAGAACTGGCAAGAAGGGTTGGTCATGTAGCTTGGTGCAAAATGCTTGCTGAGCATGTGTATGGCCCTGGGTCTCATTCCTAGCATAAAAAGTAGACTACACATATGAGAGAGGGAGGGAAGGAGGGAGGGAGAGAAGGAGGGAGAGAAAGAGAGAGAGAGAGATTAAGTGGAGTTACCCTACACAGAAAGATAATACTTCTCTCAGACGCCATAGGTTATAAAAGAAGAAGCCCAGTGGCAGGTGTGGGATACTTCCCTTAGAGTTGTTGGTCAGAGGCATCTAAGAGACCCCCAAACAACACAGGCTATTGAACATTGCTCTTGATTACTCACTGGAATTTGATGGCAAGACCTTGTTACTAAAACACCATATACTTGGGTCATAGGAAATGAAGAAATCAAGCTGGTACTGACCTGAAAGTTTCCCCTCTACTGGTTAGCTTTCATAGTGCCAGAAGGTACTATGTAGGCTGCTGGGGGGAGCAGAAGTCATCAACAGTCTTGCCCAACTGTGAATCCTGTGAGCTACAATAATGACTGTCCTGGCAAGATATGCTCATTGGTGCAACAGTAGCAGGAATGTTATGGGGTAATCCATTGCTTTCTGATTGGATTTGAGATCTGCTCCATGGGACAGAACTCATGCCTGAGACTGTAAAGTCAGCTAAGTACCTGTGGCTTGGTAAGTCATAAGTTCCAGAGGGGAACCTACTACTACTATTTTGCTAAGTGAAACTAGTATTAAACTGCCTTCTAAATATTTATCTTTACACCCATAGATTAGTGCAGCTCCTAACCCTCATCAGAAAATGGCTCCTCCTACCTGGATCCTGAGGCCTACACCTGGCTGTTGCTTCTGTGTAGGTAATGGTCCCCTTCCCAAGGGAAAGAGAGGCTGTAGCGTGTAGGGAGAGCAGGGACAGCTTCAGGGGGTTACATGATAGGAGAGGGACCAGCTGTTACCTGGGTGAGATGCCCCAGCAAGCAGTGGCATGCTAGCTTTGGGGTTGCATATACCCCCAACTTACTCCCCACAACAAGCCTTGGCTTCCCCTTCTCAGACTACTGGCTTCTTCTCAATGTCTTCCAGGCTTTCCAGAGCCTTAGGGCCCTTCCTGGTTTGCTGTGAGGTTACCAAGTAGTTTTAATTATACTAACTGATGATTGTGCCTATGTTGACCAGGTAGCTAAGGCTCTTAGTCACCCAAAAATGGCTGAGTCTCCATAGGGCCCCAATGGGAGAGATGCAGAGTTCATCACTGTAGGTACCCAGAAGTAGGTATGCCATAGGACTGACTGGCTGGCCTGTCCCTGTCCATAAGAGACACTCTCTCTGTGACCTCCTAAGCAGCAGCCATGTAAGCAGCATTACAGAGGGAGGGAAGGAAGGAAGAAGGAAGGAAGGAAGGAAGGAAGGAAGGAAGGAAGAAAGAAAGAGGAAGGCAAGAAAAGCCTTTGTTGTCTGCCACTGTATGCCTTTCTTGACATTCTTGCAAGGAAGCCTTACTAGCTTTAAAGGCAGGACATACCCAAGCTCACCTTATCTACTCCCTTGCCTCTGGTGATAGATACATAGTTCAGATAGCTTCAGTATGAGACAGCTGCCTCTTCTTGTCCTGTCTTAAAAGCCTTCTGAATGGGGTAACCTTGGCCTTGAAGGACACCCCCCACCTTGCTGTGCAGTAGAAGTCCCCACTGCACACCAGGGTCAGCTCTATACTTACACATTGCCATATTCCATCTCTGTGATAGTGATTGTCTTGACGTGCCACACCAGCTCTCTCTTGGGTATGAACCGGTCCTCCCTGGCCAAGTGGCCTACGCAGAGGGAGACAACATCTCCTAGGAAGATGCTGTCAAATTCAAATGTGTCTGTGGTTCCCCTGTAGGAAACAAAGATGGGGGCCAATGAGCTGCCCATGCCCACTGACACAGGCAAGCATTTGTTGAGTGCCTACTGTATTCCAGGATAGTATAGAAGGCAAGAGCAGATGTCAGTCCTAAATTCCTTGAGGGATTCAGAAGCAAGTTTTGGAACAAGGCAATGAAAAAGTCCTGCTGGCTACCTGGTTCCAGGACATGAACGGCAACATCACTGTCACTACAGACTAGAGCTGAGAGGAGGGAGAAGAGGTGGGTGTGGAACTATGGAAGGTGGTGAGACTCAAAGACAGATGGAGGAGGGAAAGGAAAAATTCCACGATAAGGACCTGTTTTTGAAAAACCCTAGGATGGGAGTAGTGGGGCATGAGGGAATCTGCTTGGAATTTGGATCTATGAGGGCTATGGTAATGGGGAAGGCAGGGTGGGGGCAGTCTGTGGTGGTCTTTCAGGGCCAGTCTAAGGAGCTCAAACTCTGTCCTCATGGAAGGGGAATTTAATGAATGGAATGTGATATCCTACCAAGTTCATGTGTTGAAACCTAGTCGCCAGTATGATGGCATTTGGAACTCAGTCTTTGGAAAGTGATTAGGTGATGAGGGTGGAACCCTGGTGAAGATCAGCACTTTTATAGAACAGGCCCTAGAAAGCTCTTGCACCCTGTGCTGGATAGCTTTAGTGTCAACTTGACTCACCTGGGTTGAGGGAGCCTCAATTGGGGAATTGCCTTCATTGGACTGGCCTGTGGCCATATCCATGGGGCATCTTCTTGATTGTTGAGTGATGTGGGTGGTGCCACACCTGGGAAGGTGGACCTGCGTTGCATAAGAAAGCAGGCTGAGCAGGGGCCAGGAGAGCAAGTCAGTAAGCAGTGATCCTCCATGGCCTGTGCTCCAGCTCCTATGTCCAGGTTCCTGCCCTGAGTTCCTACCTTGGGCTCCCTGATGACCTGGGAGATGTAAGACAGATAAGCCCTTTCCTCCCCAAGTTGGTAGTGGTCAGTGTGTTTTGTCACAGCAATGGAGAAACTAGGACACACTCCTTCTGCTATGTGAGGACACAGTGAGAGGACCCCATCTATGAACCAGGAGGCAAGTGTCACCAGATATTGAATCTGCCGGTAGCTTCAAGAACTATGGGAAACAGATTTCTGTTGTTTATAAGCCACTCTTTTATATAGAGCAGCTTGAATGGGTTAAGGTGGTGGAATAGGGGAAGTAGAGACTAGCCATAACAGAGACGAAGTGAGCATGAGCCACTGATACCACTTGGAATCAGGGGGAGAGTTCTGCATTGGGATGAGGGATAATGTCTTCAAGGGAAGCAAAAGGTGGCACACAGTAGGAACTCAGCAAGTACTTGCTGGTTAGGCCCATTTGTAGCCCACTCTGGGGGAGATTCTTAGGGTCCCTCATTTGCCCACCCCACCCCCATTCCATCAAGCACCCTCTTCCTACTTCCGAAAGGCCCGCTGCCTGGAAGAATTTTCCACAAGGAACTCTTTGGATCGATTCTTCCTGCCCTCCAGTATGAGCCACACGTTCTCCCTGGTTTCGCCTCCGTTGCCTGTTTCTATGACAATCTCGTAGGCTGCAGGAAGGAGGAGAGGGTCAGCAGCGGGAAGTAGCAGCTCCACCAGGAAGATGCCAGTGCCTCCCCCAGGGACTGTCATCTGGCCTCAGGCCCATCATCACAGCCTGGGAGTGAGGAGGCAGGTTAGCCTTGCTGAGGAGATCTGGGCATAGTAAGCACAACTGATGATCCTGGGAATGGAATGAGCAAATTCTCTGCTGGTAAATATGAGAATATAGGAGCCTCTGGGAATGACATGGGAGGTAAGGATAAGTTCTCAGAGATGATGGGGCCTGGCTCTCAGAGTTCCATGAGTCCCCAGGATAAGATGCAACACAGAAACCACATACCCAGAAGAGAGAAGAGAGGCAGGCCAGGCTACAGAAAGCACAGTGGAAAGACACAGCAGGCTAGCAACCCCAGAGAACCTGGAACTCACTCTAGCATATAGCCCCACCCCATCTCCCTGTCAGATTCACAGCAGTCTCCCTGCCCTGCTGTCCTGCCCAGCATGTCTGCACTGGCACCTCTTCACCAACCTTCATAGAGGGAGTGCCAAATATGAGGAGAACCAGGGTCAACACTGAGCATCCCTAGGCTAGAACATGATGGCATCGCAGCAAAGGGTCAGAGTGTTGTGGGGTGCAAGGAGACTGGCTCTCAGGCCTTCTCCCACCTCAGCTCCGGGCACCTGCCCTCATGCTCTCTTTAGCCTCTCACCTCCTTGGAGCTCTGCCACGCTCCCTTCTTCTGCCTGAATGTCCACTCACTCCTCACTTCCTTCTGTGTATTCCCTTGTCAGTCTCAGGGAGACCTACACCAAACACTCTAATTAAAGTGGTTGCCTGATCCCTCTACACTTCTGACCTGTCTTGCCTCATGGTGTTGTTTTCTCTTGTCCTTGTCACTGTCTAACATTCTCCATCATTTGTTTATTCATTGTTTATTGTACCACCTCCTCCTTCCTATATGAGTATTAGCTCCAAAAAGGCAGGTTTGTTCATTGATAGATTTCCAAGTGTCCATAACAGTGCCTGGCACGTGATGGGCCTTCAGTAAATATGTGCCGAACGAAGGTAGGAATGAATGATTGGATTAATCACAGGAAGCTTCATGAGGAAGCATGGCCTTGAAGAATAGCTGGAATTACAATGTGCAGAGGATGGAGGAATGTTCCCAGGCAGAGGGAAGAAACAGAATTGTGGCATGCGATCCAGCCCCTCTCTCCAGTGACCAGGCCAGGGATGGAGCCAGCATACAGGAGGACACACTAAATGTTTGCCTATGGTGGCTTTTAACCATATAGAATAAACAGGTGGGTAGTCTTAAAGCAAGAATGTCAGAGACACGTGATGGTCATGGAGGAACGGCAGATCGAGGGCAGGTGTGCTTCTGGTGGGCATCCAAAATCTACTGCCTCCCCTTATCAGGACTTTTGTACACCAGGGAGCTCCTATCAGATGACTGGGAAGGACTGAGACTTCTGACCTATCAGCATCCTCCTTAGGGAGATACTTTTTCCTTCTGGGCTGAGGCTATTCAACCAGAAAGGTGTGGGGCTGATGCTGCCAACAGTCATCTTCCTGGGATACAGGGAAAACTCGTACTAAACAGAGCCAAGACAGAGTCACACATACACCACTGGGGCCTCCAGGTACAGCAAAGTCTGAGCTAGAGCCACCTAAGGCTTTCAAGTTCCAGGAACCAGTACATTTCCTGGAGGCAGCATAGATACAGCTTTCAGACACGTGCCACTAAGAGTCTTAACCATTCCCAAAAGTTTCTGTTTGACCCTGTTGAGACTATCAAAGGATAGAGGTTTCAAGAACACGCATGTGACAATGGCCTCTATTGTCTGGTGGAGCAGTGAGTGCAGCATCCCTGGTTTCTGCCAGCAATCTGGACCGCAGTGGGGCTGGAAACATTGCAGATAAGCTGACAGAGCAGACTTAAAAGGCTTCAAGAGTCGGGGATAGGGAAATGAAGGGTTGGAAAGGGGGAAGCTAGAGGGTATTCCAGCAAGAGAGATGTGTATGCATACTTCCAGGTATGTGCAAGCGCACATGTGCACGCCTAAGTGTGTAACCTTGCTGTCTAAGCTGGATCCTGGAAAAGCGGCAATCAAATCTCTGGAGACTCGGACATTAGGATTATGCCCGAAGACTACCAATGGCTCTTGGCTTTGGCTGTATGTTGGAGTCACCTGCAGAGGTGCGCCCTTGAAGAGGGCTGGGAGCAGCATCGAGAACTGGGAATGAAGCCTGGGAGCAGGAGGATGAGTGCCATAGATGACTGCTAGAGCTCAGTACCAGCCACGTCCAACAAAGAGAAGGAAGCCTAGCGTTGTGCACTGGGCTTGGATAACCTTTCTGGGTTTTTGTTTTCCTTTTCTGTAACTCAGAGCTGCAAATTGCACCCGACAGGCCCCTTAGGGTGAATGTGAGGTTTCCAGGGTCTAATGAGATTGAGGCTCTATTCAAGCCAGAGGGGATGTTTATGCCTCCAGACTGAATGGCCAGAAGTGATCCCCATCAGTGACACCACTATGAAAGTGTCTTGAGGGCGGGGCTGGAGAGATGGCTCAGCAGTTAAGAATACTGGTTGTTCTTCCAGAAGACCCCAGTTTGTATTCCAGCACACACAGGGCAGCTAACAACTGTCCATAACTCCAGTTCCAGGGGATCTAACAGCCTCTTCTGTCCTCCATGGGCACTGCATGACATGGGTGCACTTACATACATGCAGGCAATACACTCATACTCATAAAATAAAAACAATAAATAAAATATTAAAAAATAAGAATCTTGGGGGTATGGGGCGTGTCCTCTGCAGTCAGGATAGGGCATGACATTTGAGTGTTTAATATGGATTTGTCATGTGGTTAAATAAAGGTAGCTGAGAGTCCGGATCAAAATCGGTGCATGACATGCTCAGGACCAGCTGTCATCTGAGAACATAGGCACGGTCACTTGTGTCCTTGTGAGCAGCCCAGCTAGGTCCATGCTGCCCCCTGCAGGCTCATGACATTGACAGATGGGTTCAGGCCCTCTCCTGGCTCCCTGCCCATTCTCCTGTTTTCCACACCCACAGAACTCCTCCACAGCCTGAATTCTGCAAGTCTGAGCAGCTATTTGGCTGTTTAAAAATCTAAGGAGGAGACTTGGCAATGGAAACCGGCCTTATAGATGACTCCTCCTCTGAACACCAGTGGCGTGAGCAGCCTCCATTGCTCACTTCAGCTCTGGTAGGGAGCTTAAGCTTCTCCCTCTGAGTATATTGTAAGGCTCTGCATGAAAGGAACATATCTTCCATTCACTGAAGACCAATTCACCAAGTCCCTACTGAATTCCAAGGGCCACAGTACTACAGAGGGCAACAAACATATGTGATGCTGTCCTGGACCTGTCACAAGGCAGAGTGCATTACTCAGGGAATCCAAAATAAAACTCTGCACCCAGTAACTCCTTAGGAAGTGTAATTACAGAAGCCAATAGCACACCCTCTGAATCAGGTCACAGATTCTCTCCCCCACAGGAAACTCCACAAATGGAGTTCAGTTCCCATGGAAGTGCTCCCAGGCACACAGTGCTCACAACCTCTCAAGACAGTTAACTTCACTGGTTTGGACACCTGGCAGAGATAGTAGTAGTCTTCTAGCCATGGTGCATACTTCCCTTCCATAGTATACAGTGACCTACAGCTAGGGGCTGCCCAGCTAGGGCCCAGTTCCCAGGTGCCCTTGGATCTGGCAGAGCCATGTGACTGGTTCTCACAAATAGAATGCAAGTTAACGTTGAGATGGTAGGGGAGGGTCTTCTAGTTTCCTTTCTGTGAGAAATGTGGATGACATGTTTGGAAATGGCAGGGACACAGATGGAAAGAGCTTGAGCCCCTAAGTCACACCATGAAAGGCATCCCACCATACTCCCACACTGGACTATATACATTGCAGAAGTGAGAAAAAAAATTATGTTGTGCTAAGATGCTGAAATTTCAGGGTTGTTTCAATAACTAACATTAGAAAATCCCTTTTTTAATCAGGCTCTGCTTTTAGTAAGCTTCTTCAAACCCACTGATCACCAATACTGGCCTGAGTATTAAAGAAAAACCTTCTGAGGCCTTGGTGGCCATTTGTCTTAGGAATGAATCCCTCTTTCCATCTCAGTGTCCCCCATGGAAGGGACAAAGGAAAAACAGCTGGTGGGGATCCCTGCTCCCCTGCCTTCAGTTTCTAGGAACCCTATTATCATAAGCATCAATTGGAATTAGGCCATGAAATAAAAACAAACCTGAGAGAGCTTCTTGGCCAGCTTCCAAACCCAACCAAGCCCTAAGGTCAAGGAAAACTTGTCCCCAGTGGATTTTCCTACTACTTCATTAGTACCTGTGATTCAGGGCCATAACTGTCTTAGCACATCCAGGCTTTCAGGGTTAGGGAGTTTACTCAGGAATCTCCCTCCTCAAGCATCAGAACCCTTGCAGCTATATGGGGCTCTCTCATTCCCATACCATTCCCCACCTCCCTGAACCAGCTGTTCTTCATCTACAAGGATCAGCCCAGGTGATCCCACTGCTTACTGGTCTCCTCCAGTTCATCACGGATCTCATTGTTTGCACATGCAAAGTCACGAATGGTCTGCCCGTCACCCTTACTCTTGGAGAGCCAGCAGTCACACTGGAAGCGGAAGGTCTCATCTCGGGAGTTGTCCTTCACGTCAACATAGCTCAGGTGCCAGCCAGGAAATATCCCTGTGGAGGACAGATCATGGGACTGGGGTAGGAAAGTGGCCTCCCTCTCTGTCCAGACCTCCCTTCCTCCATCCATGGCTATGTGACCTTGGACAAGTTTCTTGTCTTCTCTGGACCCTAATCTCCTTGTTGATAAATGACCAGTTGGGTTAAATGGTCTCCGAGAACTCCTCCAGATCAGAGGTCATAGGTATTTTTACAAAATGTTTAGAGGAGCTCTGCATGAGATTTAAGCTATGAACTTTAAGAAATTGCACTAATGTTTTACTGCAAATTTCTCCCACCAAGAATCTAATATAGACAACTGACTCACATTGGAGGTCTCTGGCCCAAGATGTAGACCTCTCTGGATCTCCTTAGCTGAAACTTCTGCGGCTTCCTGATATGTTCACTGAACTCATGTCAATGATCTTTCTGGATCAGTTCAGGTATCAGCTCCTCCATGAAGCCTTCCCTGATGTCCCACATCACTCCTGAGGCTGTATCAGGAGTTCTCCATGCTCCACAGAACCCCAAATCTGTCTGGGTACACCTTTTAGCCTTGCATTGCCATTGCTTATACAGTCTCTTCCCTGAGACCAAGGGTGCCTGAGGGCAGACTGCGTCTTGCTGGGGTTTGTTTTCCTAGAGCCTAGCAGTGTAACTGGCAGATAAGTATCTGCTGAATGAATGCTGAGTGAATAAATATGGAATGCGTTGGGGGGGGTTCTTGGCTAAACTGTTCAACAGTCAAAGAAGGGCCCAGAAGCTGCCGTTTCTTTGGGGTATGTTCCTGAATTTGACACATCTTGGGCTGATCATGAGCACAGAGCTGCTCTGTTGTAATTGGCAGGGCTTCCCTTAGAAGTGTTCCCACCACAGTGTAGCTGGCAAGTGTGGGCCAATGCATATTTGCCAGGACAGCTGCATGTGGCTTACACTGTGTACTGCTTCCATCAGTCTCCACTCAAAGTCCTTGAGAACGCTGAGCACCACAGCCTCACAGAGAGAGCAGTCTCAGTGCTCTGACAGGCTACGTGACAACATGCGCTGTTCATAACCAATTCCACAAGCCCCACACAGATGTGTTTCACGTCCACCTCTTGTCCCCTCAGGCCACTTGGGGCTTTGGAGACAGCCCCACTGTCACCAAAAAGTCTCTCTCTAGGAACAGACACTGCAGAGATCCTGCCTCTGCTCTCAAGAGTCACACAGACTCATAAAGCAGACACTCCCAGTCACCCAGATTTCGGGTGGGTCATACATGTGTGCATTGCTCCAACTTTTAAAAAAATGTTACTGTTTGAGAATTTTATACATGAATATACTGTGTTTTGACCAAATCTGCCCCATTTCCTCACCTCTGGCTCTTGTCATTACCCCACCCCACCATGTTTCTCTCCCAACATCATGTACTCTATTTCAAACCCACTAAGTCCACTTGGTACTTCTGGTATGTGCGTGGGTACAGGGACATCGACTGGAACACTGGCAGCCTATCAGGGGCCATATTCAAAGAAAACTGACTCTCCCTCCCTCAGCAGCCATCAATTTCTAATAGTTCCTTAGTTAGGGGTGGGACTTTGTGAGCTCCTTTGCCCATCCATGCTAGAATTCTGGCTGCTTGATCTTGTGCAGGCCTTGGTGCATGCAGTCACAGTCACTATGAGTTCATGTGCAATGGCCAGGTCATGTTCAGAAAACACTGTTTCACAGTAGTCCTTACAACCCCCGCCCCACACGATCTTCCCTAAGTCTCACAGAGAGAGTAGATATAGATGTCCTATTTAGGGCTGAGCACACCACAGTCTTATTCTCTGCATTTTGAACAGTTGTGAATCTGCATTTATCACCATCTTCTGAAAAAAAGATGCTTCTCCAATGAAGAGTGTGCTGGATAGCTTTAGTGTCAACTTGACACACCTGGGTTGAGGGAGCCTCAATTGGGGAATTGCCTCCATAGGATTGGCCTGTGGCCATGTCCATGGGGCACCTTCTTGATTGTTGAGCGATGTGAGAGGGCCCAGCCCACTGTGGGTGGTGCCACCCCTGGGCAGGTGGGCCTGTGTTGCAGGCTGAGCAGGGGCCAGAGGAGCAAGCCAGTAAGTAGTGTTCCTCCATGGCCTGTACTTCAGCACCTGCCTCCAGGTTCCCACCCCGAGTTCCTACTTTGGGCTTCCTGATGAACTGTGACCCAGGAGATGTAAGATATAATAAACCCTTTCCTCCCCAAGTTGGTATTGGTTAGAGTGTTTTGTCACAGCAATGGAGATACAAACTAGGACAAATAGTGAAAGCTGTGCTAACCCATGGGTATAAAGATAAGTGTTTGGGATGCAGTTTATTATTTGTTTTTATTTTATTATTTTATTTTATTTGTAAGAGTATATTGCCTGTGTGTGTGTGTGTGTAAGTACACCTATGTTGTGCAATTCCCAAGGAAACCAGAAGAGGGCATGAGATCCCCCGGAACTGTAGTTGCAGACGGTTGTTAGTTGTCATGTGAGTGCTGGGATTTGAACCTGGGTCCTCTACAAGAAAAGTCAGTGCCCTTAACCACTGAACCATCTCTCCAGCCCTTAGGGTGCAGTTTAATACTATGCCCATTTAGCTGAATAATAGTAGTGAACTGTCTCCTAGGGCCCATGATTTACCCAGTCATGGGTTCTTGGCCCAGTTAACAGTACCAGGCATGAGTTCCATCTTATGGAGTGGGCCTTAAGTCCAATCTGAAAATAGTTGACTACCCCTATAACATTTATGCCTCCATTGTACCAATGGGCATATGTTGCCAGAGTGGTGATTATTGTAGCTCTCAGGTTCATAGTTGTGTAAGATTGTTGATGACTTTTCTTCCCCAGTAGTATGCTTGCATCTTCTGGCACTATGAGAGCTAGATAGTGTGGAGGAAGCTTCTAGCTCGATACCAGTTTGATTTCTCTGTGTCCTATGACTCAAGTATGTGATGTCTTCATCAATAGGTCTTACCATCAAGTTCTGTAGGGTAACCAAGAGCAATGACAACAGCCTGAATACTATGTGGATCTATGGGACCCACTTGAAGTGACCCATATCTGGCACTCAGCTTTTTGTTTGACAGCCTAAGGCAACTTGGAAAGGCATTATCCCTTCATATAGCATGACTCCATTTAAACTCTTTTTATATATGTATGTGTGTATAGTTTAAGAAGCTTCTACAATAGTAGGTTTCCATACAGCGTTATCAAAGGTCTTTAGTGTTAGTTATCCCTAAAAGCATGTCTTAGGTTTTGTGAATACAGATCTTTACTGAGATGGAAAGCAGTGAGTGCTGACAGAATTGAACTTGTGAAACACTTGTTGAGTTACATAGTGGTGGGTAAATTGAGCTAATTTATTCACAAACTTGCTTTTTACTTGATAAATTTTTTCACTTTTCTACAATTAGGGCTCATTTCATTTGTAAGTTTACAAACTGGCTGCATCGGAGATTGTTCCAGAAAGAATCACAAAATTGACTGCAGAACTTAGTGAACCTCTGTGCACAATGGGAATGATGCAGACAGGGCTGTAGGAGTCTTTTTCTCCAGCTTCTAAGTAGAACATGGAAAGGAAGCAGCAGGCAGAGAAAAAGAAGACTCTAGGGCTGATTGTATTGAAGAAATCCAAATGGAGAAGTTTGCTGATCTTTCCCTCACCCTGTATACCCTGTGCAATCTCTCTCTCTCTCTCTCTCTCTCTCTCTCTCTCTCTCTCTCTCCCTCTCCCTCTCTCTCTGAGGGGGGGTTGTCTTACCCCATACCCAAATTCTCTTTTCCAGTTAGAATTCAGTAATGAAATGCTTTTCTGCTATACAGCAGACTAACCCCAACCCCCTTTACATAAAAGAGACGCTGTATTCCCTGCTGGTTTTCTTGCCCCATTTTGGAAACGTTGAGTGTAACTGACACAGTCTAACTATAAGTTTCTCCTTCTAAAAGCCTAGCCAACATGCAAGTGGAATCAGACATCTCTAGGCAGTCTCATGTCACCTGGCTTTGCTAGTAAAGGAAACAGAATGCTAGACAGACCCACAATTATAGCAAGTGTAACTGGTAGTCAGCAGTAGCCAACTGGTGGACCAACAGTCTCCTGAAACTGGTTGTTAGAGAAATCACTTCCTACAAAGCCCCCCTTTTGTTGTTCTCCATTTTTTACAGACAGCAACACTCCACACAGTTTGCCACCTTGTCTTTGCTCACACTGACAATCCACAGTAGAATGTGGATGTGTACTTTGCTCCTCATTCAGAGGAGCATAGATCACAAACTGTTTACCTTGTCCTTGCTGATGGATAGCTACTTAACTCCTGATACTTTGGCTCCTGCCCACCATGCTCTTATCAATATTTTTCTCATAAATAGCAACACTCCACACAGTTTGCCACCTTGTCTTTGCTCACACTGACAATCCACAGTAGAATGTGGATGTGTACTTTGCTCCTCATTCAGAGGAGCATAGATCACAAACTGTTTACCTTGTCCTTGCTGATGGATAGCTACTTAACTCCTGAGACTTTGGCTCCTGCCCACCATGCTCTTATCAATATTTTTCTTATAAATCATAGTAATTTTTAAAAATCACAACCAGATTAGCCACACTGCCATTTAAAACCCTCCAATGACTTCCCATCAATCCCAGAATAAAACAGAAACTTCCAAGACATAACTTATAGGTGGCATCTAAACCCTTTCTACGTGTCCAATTATTCTGTACTGCTCACAACCTCACTGAGCACATCACACCTACACTAAGCTTCTTCTAATACCCTGACTTACAGAACCCTATTTATTCACTGTTCTGTCTGTCTAGAGTGATGCTCCCAGGCTCTAAATGCTAGTGCTGCCTCATCACTCAGGGGTCTTTGGGCAAGTGCACTCATTGACAGCTCTGTTTGCAGGACTTTCTCATCCTTGATCACTTTACCACTTACCATATATACTTAGCACTTGATGATCTGAAATAATTTTGTTATTTCATTGTTCATTGTATTGTCTGTTTCT